GTCCATGAGTCAGGCTAATTGACTTCAAAGGGACCTGCAGTGTTTTCTGGCCCACCCCTGTCCTCAGAGCAGCAGCAGGTTAGAACAGATTGCTTTAGATCTTGTCTGTTAAAATGCTGGAAATCTCCTGGAAGGGAGGAGATTAACAGCCTGGCTCTGAGTTGTGACTGTTGAGATCTGTGGATGTTTTCTTTATCTGTGGAGGTAAATGACTTGTTGAAACTGCCACAAATCTGAGGCAAAAAGGAATTCCATAGAATCATTCAGGTTGGAAAAGACCTCCAAGGTCATCAAGCCACTAAACCACGTCTCAGGTACCACACCCACACATTTTTTGAACCCCTCCAGGGATGGTGACCCCACCACCTCCCTGGGCAGCCTGGGCCAATGCCTGACCACTCTGCCAGGAAAGAAATTTTTCCCAATATCCAGTCAAAACTTCCCCAGGCACAACTTCAGCCCATTTCCTCTCCCAAGTCACCAGTGACAGGACAAGAGGAGACCAACCCCCACCTCACTCCAGCCTCTTTTCAGGGAGTTATAGAGAGCAAGATCTCCCCTCAGCCTCTTCTTCTTCAGACCCCAGGTCACTCAGCTGTTCTCACAAGCCATGTTCCCCAGAGCCCTCACCAGTTTCGTTGCCCTTCTCTGGACCTGCTCCAGCCCTTCAAGGTCTTTAACCTGTGGTGCCCAAAACTGACTCCAGCATTCAAGCTGTGGCCTCCCTAGTGCCGAGTCCAGGGGCACAATCACTTCCCTGCCCCTGCTAGACACACTATTTTTGATTGAGGCCAGGTTGCTGGTGGTCTTACACATTCAGTTCCGGCCTCCTCAGAGCAGCCCCAGCACTCATGGGGGTTGAGAGAGACCTTTCTTGTGTGACCTGCCTGCAGTTGGTGGGCTGTGCTAAAACTGTTTCTCTGCTCTCTCTTAGGTATGATTCTCACATTAAAGGCCGTAGGACTTCAAAGATGTGTCTTCCTGGGGCCACCAAAGCTGGTAAGTGGGGTGAGCTTGCAGAAGGGAGAGTGAAACCTTCAGATGTTGAAGCTGAGCTGGGAGTGTGACTTGTGTGGGAGTGAAATGCTGGTCTGAGGCAGTGCCAGCCAGAGGTTCTGCCAGAGGACTGGCTTTAAAACCCAGATCTCTTCAATTGCACACAGGAGAGTGTCAGACTTCAGCTCCTTAGAAATGTCTTGTCAGCCAATTTTCTGGTAACTTGTGTTTTGGCAAAAGGGTGTCCTTTGTTCTCTTGCTTCCTCCCTCCCTGTTTTCTTTTGATAGAAACTTGGTTGGTGCTCTGGTGCTTGACACGATCCTGGCTGGCCTGGCACCCTGCCTGGCTGAACGTTTCCAGTCCTCAGCATGGCTTTATTTCCTTGCACAATCTGCTGTCTAATTTGTGGATGGAAAGGATGGGGAGAGTGGTTCTTTCTTCTCCCTTCTCTTTCTAAAGGAGCAAAAGCCCACCAGAGGTGGGACACCTGCCCAGAGCTGTCTGCCTGGGTCCTGCCAGTTCTTGCCTGACTGGACATTGAACCTTTGACTTCAGTCATAGAATCATAGCATCTTAGGGGTTGGAAGGGGCCTCTAGAGATCATCTAGTCCAGCTCCCCTGCCAAAGCAGGATCACCTAGGGCAGCCCGTACAGGAATGCATCCAGGTGGGTTTTGAAAGTCTCCAGAGAAGGAGACTCCACAACCTCTCTGGGCAGCCTGTTCCAGTCCTCTGTCACCCTCACAGGAAAGAAGTTTCTCCTCATATTGAGGTGGAGCTTCCTGTGTTCTAGCTTATACCTGTTATTCCTTGTCCTTTTACTGGGCACCAGCAAAAAGAGCCCGTCCACTTCTCTTGACACTCACTCCTCAGACATTTATAGACATTAATAAGATCCCTTCTCTGCCGTCTCTTCTCAAAGCTAAACAGTCCCAGTTCTCTCAGTCTTTCTTCATAGGAGAGATGTTCAAGTCCCTTAATCATCCGTATAGCTCTCCGCTGGACCCTTTCCAGTAGATCCCTGTCTTCCTTGAATATGGGAACCCAAAACTGGACAGAGTATTCCAGGTGTGGTCTCACCAGAGGGGGAGGAGAACCTCCCTAGGCCTGCTGTGACTCCTGGATGTGGTGCTTGTAACGGCAGCATGTTGACACAGTCTCCTAAAACTCTGTCTCTTTTCCAGCAAAACTACTTGAAAGCGATTCGACTCTTTCCTGGCCCCCTGAAGAGGATGGATTTAGGTACGTAGGTCAGTGCTGTGCAGCCAAGGTGAGCTCCTGACTTCTCTTTGTTCCAGCCATAGCCAAGGTTGCGTTGAACTGCAGCAGCTTCAGAATAAATGCTGCTGCTTTAGATCCACTCTAAGCAAGTTTTGAGCCGTTGCTTTGATCTGATGCAGTGTTTGAATCCATCACAAGAACTGCCTGGAATAAAAGCATTGTTTCCAGCTCTGTTGTGTAGAATCATTCAGTTTGGAAAAGACTTCTAAGATCATCAAGTCCAACCATCAACCCAACACACCCATGACCACTACACCATGCCCAGGTGCCACACCCACATGTTTTTTGAACCCCTCCAGGGATGGTGATTCCACCGTCTCCCTGGGCAGCCTGGGCCGATGCCTCACCACTCTCTCAGGAAAGAAATTCTGCCTAATATCCAGTTGAGACCTCCCGTGGCACAACTTGAGCCCATTTCCTCTTGTCCTATCACTGGTGACTTGGGAGCAGGCAATATTTTTGGATGATGGGCTTTTTAATTATTTGTTGACCTTTGCAGTTGGGCAGAGAAAGGGAAAAGGGACGTTCAGTGGGGTATGGATCTGCTCTGGTGATGTGGTTAATGCTAGCCTCTGGTCTCTCCCCAGCTGTGCAGCTGCACACGGAGCCCGAGTACAAGGACGAGACGATGACGGTCTGCCAGGTGCCTCTTACAGGTGAGTCTGCCCTCAGACAGGAGAGGCAGCTGGGCAGTGACCACACCTGAGGTGGTGAAAGGAGCAGCTTCTGTTTGTGTGGATGAGGAAGGGCAGGTTTATTCATCTGTATGTATTTCTTGGGAGAAAGATCAGAGGGACAAGACCTGCTGAGTCAGGGCTTGGTTCTGCCTCTGGCTGTGGGTGCAGAACGACATGTGAAGAGTCGCTGGATTAGGCCTCTTATCCAGCTGACTTTTCTTAATTGGGGCACAGGCACGGACTGGACAGAGCTTAGCTATTTGGAGAGAATCTGAAGGGCTTGGATGTTGGATGGCTCCTGAAATAAGTGACTAGAGTACGTGAGCACAAATCAGACTGGAGGGAAGAGCTCAGTGTTCTGGTGCGGCTTAAACGTGACTGCCATGAAGAGGGAAAGCTGATCGTGCTTTTCTGACCTGCCCCTTTTGATTGAGTGATCTATGTCTTGTTTTATTGGATTTGGGACAGGAAAACCACAAGCTGCTGGAAGTAGATCGCCTCAGAGTCCTGGAACATCAACCCAAGGTGTCAGGAGCCCTAAAGGGGATACAGGGCCTGGATCCCCAGGAGCTGCACAGCAAAGCTTGGAGGAGGGCAAGGGAAAAGAGAGCCCAGAGAAAACAGGTGAATAAAACAGAACGACCTTTTTAACTAACAAAGTAACACCAAGTTAAGGACATGTGTTTGTCCTCTGAGCCTTTTGCTCTATGAAGTGAGGTCTGTAGAGAAGCTTTGTGCAGTAGAATGAGTTCTAGAACTTTGGAAGTTGATGCAGAACGATTAAGGCCTAGACACTGGACGTGTTTCCTACTTTGTACGTGATTAGTCCCTGTTATAATTTGCCCCTGTGTAATGGAATTCCAAGCAGATGTTGGAGTTGATTAGTTTTCAGTCTTGGGTTTTATTTTGGTTTCTTACTTCTCATGGGCCCTCTGGCCTTAGGTGGTTGTAATTTTTTGCTGCTGGCCTCAAAGTTGGCTGCATGACACTGTTCCTGTTGGTGTTTTAGGAAACGGTGACATATTTGACTTAAAGAAAAACGATTGTTAGTGATGACTGAGTAGTTCTGCTTTCTTCTCAGGTGATGAACAGAAGCATGCAGACAGGCACCCCGACATGGTGATGGCTTTCCTTTGTAAGGTGAGCTTGGATACAGAGATCTCTAATGGGACATAGAACAGACTTTAGACAAGAACAGAGTATTTCAGTGGGAAGGGCCCTACACCAACCATCTTGTCCAACTGCCTGAGCTCTTCAGGGCTGCCCAGAAGTTAAAGCATGTCACTAAGGACATTGTCCAAATGTCTCCTCATTGCTGACAGGCCACGGGCACTGCCCACCTCTCCTGGAAGCCTGGTGCAGCGTTTGAACAACCTCGCAGTAAAGAAATGCTTCCTCCTGTCATTGGGACCTTTCATCTCACTAAATAGATTTAACTGGAGATCATGTTTTCAAACAGTGCTTTCAAGTGATTTTGTGATTCTGATTTTCAGGGGTCAGAGTAACTGTAGCCTGAAGAAAAACTAGATTTTTTTTTTTTTTTCAAACTGCGTTTTATATAAGAGGATACAGGTTCCATTCTTGCTTCATGCTTGCAGCAGGGAAGTCTCCTGTGTACTTGGCTGAAGAAGGGAGCAAGAGGCAGCAGCATAATCTTGGAAACCATGAAGTCTAGTAAAAGGTTTTTGGAAGTAGATGAGACTAGTGGCTGGGGAACTGAAAAGAAAATAAAAAATTCCCTTGGCTTGTGGGGAGTTAAACTTAATTACTGCACTTAAACTGGAAGTAGGTGGGTCTTGTTTCCTGGCCCTCTTTATTTGGCTGCTCACTCTTTTTTATTTAACTCCTTTCAGATCCACCCAAAGAAGGGAAAATTCCTGGCAGCTAAAGCACAGGAGATGGGTCTGCCAGTGTGAGTGCAAGATCCCAGCCCAGGGACGGGTGACGCCGGCCACACTGATGTTGGCAAGCTAAATATTTCTATGGCCTTGTTTTCAGGGGAACTCCGGCCATTCTTCCCATAATTACAGCTCTCAAAAATGGGGAGAGCGTCACTTTTGAAGGCAGAGAGGTGAGATGGACCTGTGCTTTCAGCCATGGCTTTGCCAGCCTCCCTTCCTGACGGGGCTCCCAGGGTGACAGTCTTTCTGTGTAGAATGTTTTGCCTACCAGTAGTTACTGGGACATGGTTGGTTGCTTGGCTTTTTACAGCCACTCTTGAGGCACAAGTGGATGATGGTTGCTGCCTGTCCCCTCTCATCCTGCAGCATGGGTTTTGCTCATTTTGAGCTTTGAGTCACTACTTTTGGTTCATGACTGGTCCCTGTTCCAGCCCCAAGTTGTTGCTGACTGTGGCTCCTGTGGGGTGGGTCTGGGCCTGTTGCAGGGTGTGATTAGGTCTGAAGTGAATTAATTTGTGTGTGTCTGTATATCTGCTGTTCAGCAGAGCTTCTTCACCCCCCCTTCCCAAAGCTGATAGGCATCTAGGAGTGAGTCCCTGCATACTTTAAGTCTGGGGTTTGAATGCCTGTGTAGCTATCGCTCCCTCTTTGCCCTGTTTGCACCTCTTAGACCGAGAGACATTCATCAGTTCCTGCATGCAGGGCCTTAGTGTCTCAAAACACTGGTGTGAGGCAGAGGCAGAGCCACCTCTGGCCATCTCCTGGGTGACCTGTGGGTGAAGATCCTAACCCAGGAGACAGGGCTGACACAGTGTCAGAAGAATTTCACAAAGCCTTTTTGCTTTTGTTCCCATCTGAATCTGCTGTGGGAATCTAGAAGCTGCTAAAAATTCTCTTCCTTCCTTCGGTCGTGGTTTGCTCTGAGATCAGGGGTTGTTAGCAGCAAAATGAGCAGGGCTGGGGGTTGTTGCTAGACAGCAAAATGCGTGAGGAGAGCTGCACTGTCCGGGTGTGCTGGGGGCTGAGCTGCCCGAGGGCTTGGGAGGACTCCTGCAGGGTTTGGCTCTGCTGTGATCTTCTGTACCTGCCTGCAGCTCCTTCCCGAAGACCTGTGCACCCCTCCCGACCCCGGGCCGGTGTTCCTGGTGCTGGAGTGTCCTCATGAGGGCTATGTGGATGCCGTCTGTGAGAACGAGACCTTCCAAAGGTAGCAGGGCTGGGTGGACTGGAGTGTTCAGGGGAGACGTGTGTGCTGAGCTTTGCCAAAGAGAAGTTCTTGTTTTCTTCTAGATGTGTTGGTTCCTGGGGCTGGTGTCCAAGCTGTTTGGCACTGTTAAGGAGCTAGAGATACATGAAAGGGTGGGTGGTGCCTTTTGAGCCTCTTGGAAAGGCTGGCCTCGGCAGGACATGTGGGTTCTGGAGCTGTCACGGGCCTCTCTTCCCTCAGGGCCACCAGAGAAGGAAATGTCTGCTGGTGTCTGGCTGGGGAGCACTGTAGAGACAATGGCTTCACTGTGCTGTGGAAGCCTGGGCTGTGTTTAACATCTCTGTAGAGCTCGTGGAGAAGCATGTTAAGCTTCTGAAGGGTTCTGCAGAGGTTGCTGCTCTTGGAGGAGAAGAGCTGCCCCTGGGCGGGGAGAGAGGAGGTGTCAGCAAACTTTGGGCCTGGGCCTTGTGGAGCCTTGTGTCTACCAGGACATGGAGCCCTGAGCTGCTGGGCTGTGTCTGCCCGCTTCATGGCAGGCATGAAGCACCAAGCTGGGAGAGGAGAGGGGGACTGAAGTGCAGGTATTCTTTTTGTGCCCAAGGTACCAGGAGGGACTTCCTGAGAACCAGGTGGCCTTGGTTATTCACATGACTCCAGAGGCAGTGCTTCGAGACAGCCGCTACCAGCAGTGGATGGAAAGGTTTGTGGTCCTCTGATGACTTGGTTGCCCACTGCTGTTGGGGAGCAGCGTGTTCTTGTGGTTCAGAACAGATGTAGCTGATAGCTGGCAGAGGACTCTGTTGCCTCAGATGGGATTTTAGCTGCTGGCTCAGCACGTGCACGTGCCCAACTCTAACCTGGGGCTGAAGCTTTTGTGCGTTTTATTGTCCTCTTACAGATTTGGACCTGGAACTCAGCACCTGGTGCTCAATGAAAACTCCTCTGCAGTACACAACCCACGCAGCTACAAAATCCAGACTCAGCTAAACCTCATCCACCCAGAGATCTTCCCTCTGCTTACCACCTACCAGAGCAAGGTAGGCCAGGCCCTGCTTGCCTGCGTCCCTCGTGCTCCTCGGTGCAGAACGTGTTTGATGTCCCTTCTCTCTGCAGGAAGAAGAGGCCGTGTGTCGTGTGCCCGTGGTGCGAGGAGAGTGTCTCCTGAAGTACCACTTCAGACCCCAGCAGGAGTGGCAGCGGTTGGTGGGAATCTTTGACTTGCCAGTTTTTGGGTGTTGGCTTGAAGCAGCTTTTCAGTGCTGAGGGAGGTCGGTTGACAGCCCTCTGCAGATTTTTACTGGTGGCCATGCTGAGGTAGCTGCCAAGCTGTGTCAGAAATCTCAGACAAGGTGTAGAACATGGATGAGTGGACCACTGAGAACATCAGCTGGCCACTGGTTTGAGTGTTGTTTCAGCCCCTTGCTCTTGTGGCCTTGTGGGCTGCTCTGTCCTTGCTGTGATCTCACGTGCTGTGTATCCAGCCATGGCTGTGGCAGAGCAGGTGGTGGCCTGAAGAGGCTTTTTGGGGAGCCTGTTGAAAGTCTTCATCAGGCTTTCTGGGTCTTCAAATGGATCAGAGCTGAAAACCCCAGGTTTTAACAGGTTTTCAGCAGTTGCAGGCTTCTCACTGGTGCTTGCTCTTTGGAGCAAGCAGGTGAAGCTGCTCAGCAAAGATCTGAAGGGCAGGGGACCAGCCACGTGGTACAAGAGGATGCCAGCTGCCACAGCTCAAATTTCCGACTGTTGGGCAGAACGGGAGGACTCAGATGTCAAGAAGAGTTTCTCTGCTTCTAGTGCCTGAAGGGCTGTAGTACTGCCCAAGCTCCAACACAGGAACAGGACACAGGTCCCTTATGCTTCTGAGTGGTGCCTGGAGCCCTTTTGGGTGGCTGTTCCTCATCCAGGAGTGCCCGTGCTGCCTGGCAGTGCCCTCTGGTGTCTGCAGCTGCCTGTGGAGCTTGGTGCTACTCTAGGAGCTTCTCCGGTTTGGTGGAATGATTATTTCTGTGGTGTGGCTCAGCCCAACCGGGCCATTTTGTTGCACACCACGCTCGTGGCTGTATCTTCTCCCACCCCTCAAAATGCGGCCTAAGGAGCGGTTGACCCTGTGTTATAAGGCTGTTTTGGAGCAGTAATTTGGGACTTTGCTCTGAAAAGTTCTGTCTTTTCTGTCCCTGTCCTGCCTCGTGGCCTGTTCTTTCAGAGACACTGTGACTGTCTGCGACCACGAGGCGTTTGTGAGCGAAGCCTTGGACCTGCCCGACTTCCAGAGGTGTGTGAAGGAGTGCAGAGAGAGCCTGGCTGCTCTGCCAGGTGAGGACCAGCAGCTCGTCGTGGCCCTGTGTCACGGGGAGCGGGAGATCTTGCTGAGGTGACCCACCCACTCCTTTAGAGCCCAGACAGAGCTGTGAACGTGCAACCTATTTATCATTTCAGCCTCTTCTCCTTCCCAAGGCTGGGTACTTCTTCCTGTCCCCTCCCTCCTTGGCTCCATCTCCATCCTGGCTCCATCCCCTTTCCACCTCTGGGTCTCGCTCATCCACACCCACCCAGGTGCTTGGCCTCCGACTGGAATATCCCTCTCTGTTCACCTGAACTGCACCCACAAGCTGATGTCTCTGCATGAGGGCAGAGCCAGGAGGGACCCTCCACGGGTCCCATCCACTGCCCAGATCCATGTGGCCAAGCTGTTCATGGGGAGCCCCAAACCTCCATCATCTGCACCCATCACCTACATCCTGCCTCTGGGTTTTTATCACAGGCAGGCGAGGGGTTCAGGCTGGGCTGGTGATGAAGCAAAGAGAAAATGACAGTCGAGGGAATGAAAGGTGGAGGAGAAATGCCCTTGACACACTCAGAGTGAGATTTTAAAAAAATTCTTTTTTTTTTTATCCCTGGTGACAGAGGATATAATGAA